CAGGCACTGCTACCAAGGAAAAGGGGCTGCCACAGGATGGCTTTGTAGTGCTGCGGAGAGGGGAACTGAGGAGGGGTCTGGGGGATCCCACATCATCCCTGGCCCCAGTGAAACCCCGGCGGCTCTCGCAGGGCAGCCTGGAGGATGAGGTGCGGCCAGAGCGGAGCAGTGCCACTGAAGGGGAGCGGAGGAAAGCTAAGGTGCCGCCACCAGTGCCCAAAAAGCCCAGTGTGCTGTACCTGCCACTCATGCCAGTCCCAGCACAGCTGGGAGGCAGCATGGGGGACCTGCCGCCCACCCCTAGCCCCATCATCACGCTGGACACTGACCCCACCTGCTGCGACCCTGACAATGATGATCCGCCGTCCCCTGAGGCTGTGGGCACCGTGCAAGCCAGTGACCCTGCCTTGGAGCAAGGTGAGGGTCTCCCCGCCCCTATGGTGGGATCACCATGGGTCAAGGGGGTCCCCCTGTGCCTCACAGTGGGCTTTACAGCCGTCTTTTCCTCCCTGCCCGCAGGCAGCTCAGCAGAGGCCAGCATGGAGGAGAAGAGCTTTGCCAGTGACAAGACAGCCGAGTCCATCGCGGAAGAGGACGACGAGGTGTTCATGACATCCCGCACCACAGAGGATCTCTTCACAGTGATCCACAGGTAAGGCTGGTGCATGGCACTGGTGGGGCACAACCCCCAACCTCCTGCATCTCACCACAGTCACAGTATTCCTCCACCACAACACCTCAATTTTTCTATACTGTGTCCGATGCTCATGCCTGGGGACAGCCCAGCTGGTGCTGCCTTGAGCACTTCAGGGTGTGGTCAGGCTGGGTCACCAGTTTGCAGTGGGTCCACTGCTCCCTTGGCCTTGGGGTGGGTTGGTCCTACCTGCCAGGACCATCACTTGCCATGCTCATGTTGTCACCTTGCCCCAGTGGAGCAGGCAGAGCCAGGACTGGGCACCACCGTGCCCCTCACTGTGGGACCTTGCCCCAGCCCGTGGCTGTTCCTACCCATGTTCTTTTGGTGCCTAGGTCAAAGAGGAAGGTCTTGGGGCGGAAAGAGCCTGGTGACACCTTCAGCAGCCGACCCACCTCCCACTCACCTGTAAAGACTTCAGGTTCCCCCACCGTCGAGTCCCCAGCAGCAGTGGGCGGCAGCGGGAAGTCTTCCAGCTGGAATGAGGATTTTAAAGCCCTGCGCGAGAAGAAGAGCAGCAAAACCAGTCCCGGTACCCGGCCATCTGCTGCTGAACTGCTCAAGACCACAAACCCACTGGCACGGAGGGTCATCACAGAATTTGCCCCTGAGCTGGACAATGCAAACAGCCCCAAAAGCCAGCCCTGACCATGCAGGGTCCCCTCCAGCCGGAGGGGTGGCGATGGCTGTGGAGGGAGCGCTGCTGCGAGGGGCTGTCCTGGCTGCCAGGGAGCCCCTGCATCCTGCCAGAGAGGTTCTGCTTTTGTTCCTTCCTTGGAGAGCCACTGGCAGCGAGCAGTGGCTGGAGCCCAAGCCCCCGTGTCTCTAGACCCTTCCCAGGAGGGAAGTGGTGGTAACACGGCTGGGACTGGCCACGGCTGAGCTGGCTCCAGGGACCAAAGATTACTGCCCGGGAAGCAGAGTGGGACCACAGCCCCTGGCATTGCCCCACTCCTTCAGTGAAGCAACTTGAGACTCTGGTCCCTTCGGCATGTGGTACTTTTAACAGCTTTTCTAATGCACAGTGGTGGTGATGTTTGATTCTCTTCCCTTTGACATTGTACCTTGAGTTTCCCAGGCAGAGATCCCCAGGTTGAGTACAGCTGGACACACAGATGCACCTTGGGAAGACACCAGGGGTTTGGCTGGATCTACGGTTGCTTTTGAAGAGTCACAGGAGGTTCACCCTCGTTGCTCTGAGGAGCATCCTCCCTGCCACACGGGGAATGGGCAGCTGGTGTCCGTGGCCAGCACCACCACCTCAAGCCAAACCCCCACCCCTCAAAAGCCCCCAAAATGCTGCATTTCAGAGCTGCTCAGCTCTCAGTCCAAAAGCAAACCCCAGGGTCACCTCTGCCGCCAGCCAGGGGTCCTGTGCCTGGCTGCTGACTGTGGGTGACGGGTGTAACCCTGTGCCACAGGAAGAAAGCTCATTCCCAGCTCTGTCTCCTACATCACCCTGATGGACCCTGCAACAGCTCCTCCTGCAGCCCAAGCCACTGAAGGTCCCAGGATGTCACTGAGGTGGTGGCTTGAACCCAGACAGACATCACCTGCGTCACCTCCCCAGTGACTCCTGGGGTGCCCCTGGAGTTGCCCACCGCTTGCCCATGCCCTTTGGCTGTAGGACAGCTGAGTGAAGCTGAGAGGGACACATGCCATCAGGGCCCATGCACAGGGGTTTTTAGAGTTTGCACATCCCTGGGCGGGATTTATCCCTCTCACCCCCAGCTGCTGCTTCCTGGCCTGACTCCAGCATGGAGCCCCGGCTGTCAGTGACAGAGGCCACGGTGAGGGGCAGCGGGACAGGGACAGCCACCGGGGCCAGGGCAAGGCAGGGAGGAAATGTCAGCTCCAAGCACAAGCACGGCCACATGCCTTGAGCAGCAGGAAGGGTCAGGCTGCGGCTGATGAGGAAACAGGTGTTTAGGGAAATTTCTGCTTTATTTCTTGATGTATTTCCACAAGCTGCAGCCCTCCTGTGCCGTGGGGAGTGATGTGGCAGGGGGAGGGGGAGTGGGGGGCCCCCACCCC